CACAGCACCAGACACTTTAAAGCGCTCAAGGACATCTGCATAATCGCACACTTGTTGTACTACAAATACTGCTACTGGTCACTTTAAAATGGTTCACTGATTTTCTGCACCAACTGTACAACTGTCATAGTATTGCATTCTACCACTGATCACTTTAGCACTGTTTGATACTTTGCACATTGTCTCACAGTTGTCATTAGGTGGTACCACCACACAACAGTACACTTACATTACGGAATGTCCTTCCTTACTTATTTGTCATGTCCTTGTTTATGATGATACTAGTGCAGCGTGTTCTACCAGAGACAAATTCCTTGTGTGTTCTACATACTTGACCAATAAAGATAATTCTGATTCTGATTCTGAAGACAGCTGGCTTAGGGTCGAGCAGGCCCATGACCCTTGTGAGAATAAAGCGGATAGGAAAATGGATGGATGGATATTTTTGATGAGGGTGATAAATTATCAAAATAAATATAGTACATGACTGTTCATAACAATTAATTTTACTCTGCTTTTTTACTCTGTTGTGCAGAGGTCTGCAATGTTTTATTGGTACTTAAAGAATGAAAGCAGTCCTACTTGTGTCAGAACCCTTTTACACAAGTTTCTGTTCTACTTAATGACAGAAAACGAGCAATTGCCGTTTTAGTTTTTTTCTCTTTTAGTAGCACTAGACTATAACAGTCGATAGATGGCGGAAGACGTCGAGTTAGTCTCATTGCAGACACACGAAGAAAAGCTGGTGGTTTGTTTACTCCTGTTGCAATGGCGACCATCACCGAACTTAAATGTGGTATGTGCGCGTTGTTATGATTTGGTTGCTTTTAATTTAAACCTGCAAATAATACGATTAGTCTTTGCCCCTTCCTTGGAGCAACTGCTAACAACGCAGCTAGCTGTTATCGTACTTCGTTGTTTACACGTTGTCCATACGATTATGCCAAGCTGCTCGCTATGATGCATCTGAAAACAGCTTTTCAACATACCTGTGCCATCATCACTAAAACGAGTTTCAGTGTGGAATATTTCTATGATGTTGATCTTACGTTGAATTGCACACATTCCAGCCGTGAGAGAAACTTTGGAGCGCCGCGGCGTGCTGGGACAACTGAAGGCACGCATCCGGGCTGAAGTGTTCGGTGCTCTCGATGACCAACGTGAACAGCGGCCGCCGCTGTCCCACGAAAACCTGCTCATCAATGAGCTCATCCGTGAGTACTTGGAGTTCAACAAATACCGACACACAGCGTCGGTTCTGATAGCAGGTAAGCCGCAGCTCTTTTACACTTTTATACACTTATATACAATACGGTATAATACTCACACTGTACTGGAAGTACAGATACTCAAGAGTAGACGTACTGATTCCTGTCCTAAGGCTACAAGATTGAAGTAAAGAGTGTCCAGAAAGTACAAATGTCAACGTTTATTCATACAGTTAATTTTACACTATACTTGTTTTTGATAACTTAACAGAATGGACATATTAAAACCTTCTCTAGTCTGCACGCAAAATAATGTCGCTCTTTATGCTTGTACTTTGTCCCTTAGCTTTGCAAGCGTGAAGAAATTACAAAGCAAAATTAATAGAGCAAATAATAAACAACTTTAAAGAAAACATCCTATTTGTATTTGTCTTTAAGATTTGACAAGGGAATTGTTTGCATGTCAGAAGCTGCTGTGGTTGTTAGGGTGATACAAGACACGGTAGCCACAAAGCATTCTTGAAGTAGACAACATCAAATAGTATTCATAAGTATGTCCATCTGCGATTGGCTGGCAACCGGTTCAGGGTGTCCCCCGCCTACTGCCCGAAGACAGCTGGGATAGGCTCCAGCACCCCCCGCGACCCTAGTGAGGATTAAGCGGTTCGGAAAATGGATGGATGGATGGATGGATGGATGGACGGATGGATAAAGTATGTCTATTGATGGTGAATATCTTGCCTCTCCAAATCTGTTGTGTTCTGATCGCTAATGCATGTTGGTTCAGGTTGCTGCTGTCCGTGAGTTTTTTTATTTTTTTTTATTTTTTTGGGGGGTGGCGGGGTTGCTTTTACCCAAGATCGCAACTAATCAATCAACCAACAGCTCATCTGTTGTTGACTTAACCTTTCTGTATTGTCTTTTTTTTTCTGGAATTTTTATATATTTTTTGTTTGTGTGTGGGAGGAGGTGTTTATTTTTATTTTGTCTTTATTTGCATATTTGGTAAGATGAAACTGGGTGTCACAATTGACTTGTTTTGCTCAAGAAGATTGTTATGAAACCTACTGGATGCTTTGCACTCTGTGGGCAACATGCAAAGCCAAGTAGGAAACAGAGTGGAACAAAACTTGTCAGGGCTTTGACTTCAAATTACAGCTGCACTTTTTTGAAACATGACCAATCTCTATTGTTGAGAAGAGGGTTTTTTTCTGAGTATTTCCAAACTCTGCTCTGTTTGTTATCTCAGAGTCAGGCCAACCCCAAGTTCCCCTGGACAGACAGTTTCTGGCGAGTGAGCTGAGAGTCGCTGAGGATATGAGCTCCAAATCGGTGTAAGTGAATTTGCCAGGGCACAAAAACTCCCAGCATACATTTTTTGGAGCTTTGGTCATTTGTTGGAGAGATCTGTGAATCGTCACCATTATTATATTTTCACACATAGGGATTACATTACCACGTCTTTGTTTTAGCTTCCAACCTTAGCAAAGGGATTGTGTCATTGCCACATTACATTTTTTTCTTTGACAGTTCGATTTTGTACTTCACTTATCATTAGGTTAGTCACCGAACCTCAGCAATTTTTTTCTCTGAAGAATAAAAAAAAAAACACAGCAATATACAGCATTAATATATTTGTTGTTCTTGACTTTCCAGGCCTCTTCTGTATGGTTTGGTGTCGCACTTCCTGAATAGTGGTGATGATGGAAGCAAGGTGTTCCTCAAGGGCACCTGTACGAGTAATACAGGACACAGAACTGACAGCTGACACTGAGACTCACACCATTCAATCATCATCATCATCATGTTTTTTTATCGATCTCATCAGCAGAGAGCTCACAAGTCGTGCTGATGTGCAGTTTGTACTTTCAAATTCACACTTTATTTATTTGCATGTGCTCTTCTGCTCCCTTCATGTTTTTCCATTTTGTTATTTAAAATAAAGTTGTTTTTTTTAAAGCCATTCAAAGCTTTTCTGTTGTTGTTGAGTCTAACCACATGATGGCACTATTACCCAAGATAAGGCAAAAGCAGGTTTTCCAAACTTTTCAAACTACAGTATTGCTGTAACATTCATGTACCTGATGCTCAGGAAATCATCAGACTTCCATTCCATCCATTCTCTGTACTACTTGGCCTCACTAAGATCACGAGTGTGCAGAAGCCTATCCCAGCAGATTTTGGGCAAGGGCAGGGTACACCCTAAACTCCTGGTCCGCCAATCGCAGGTCATGTACTGTATAATCAATCAACCATTCACACCTACGGGATAGTTTTGGGTTTCAGTGAACCTACCGTCCTTTTTTTAGAATAGAATATTAGGCATGGCGAGAACATGTCAACTACACACAGGAAGGCCGTAGCCTGGATTTGAACTCAAGGCGGATGTGCTAACCATTCCCTCAACGGGTGACCGTTGTCAGACTTCTTTAATTTATGATAAAAACATAAATCAATCTACGAAGAAAATCAGTCATCTTGAGTTTTCCCTCTAGGTGACAGAAGTGAACTGAGTCTAGTCTTTTGACCTCTGACATTCACTGCACGTGAGATTATCGTTTGAACACCTGAGCAACACATTTGCTTTATCTTAATTGAATCTAAAAATGTGAAATTAGTTTGTGTACACCTGGAAACAATCATTGGATAGGTTGCAAATTTCATCGTCTCTTTAACATTTCGTTCTGTTTGCTGTGATCTTACAGTTTGTGCCCCCTGTTCAAACACGGAAATCAGTAAATAATCTACCTCTTCTATTTCAAGCTTGTGAATGCCTTCTGGGAATCCACCCAGCCATTTTCTATAATGCTTCTCCTTTTGAGGATTGCGGGGAGCTGAAGTCTGTCCCAGCTAACATCGGGCAAATGGCAAACTACACCCCCGAACAGCTCACTAGTCAGTCACGGGGCATGTGTAGAGACAGCCAACCGTTCATACATTCGTTCTGTCATTCAGTGGGAACAGCACCCATCTGCCTGCAACTAAGTCAGGCCACTGGACCATTACAACTGTGCCTCCCTCTCAAAATCCCATTTGGAAAATTCTCACATTGATGAGTTTGACCTTCCTGTGATGGGAACGTGAGATTTTGACTAGTTGCTCGCCTTCACTCCAAATGAGATCTGCAAAAAGTTCATTAAAAAAAACAGCCACAGTGAATTGCAAAGAGTGACGCTGCACATTACAAACACTGAGAGCAACAAGCTCACAGTTTTTGCATTTCCTCCTCCCTCGCCATTTAAGGGAACCTGACATTCTTATCGCGCACAACTTGTGGTACTGCTTATTTACAGAGAGGACCGTTTATTTCAGGGCCTGATCATCAGCTGTAAACGGAGACACTAGACTTCTGCCCTCACTAACATCATTCAACTGTGAACAATTTTGAAGCAATCCTATAAAGCATGCCTTTGCTGCATTTTCCTCATTTACGATGTCTGAGCTTGTATGGATATCGAGGAGCTCATAGAATAGAAATCAATAGCTCTGACCTCAACAGTATCATACACCTCTGAGATGAACAACATTGGGGGCCTCATAATGTCCAAAACTATTTTCTCCCCTAAGGCCAAATCGACATTGAGTTGTTGCAAGCTTCTTGTGTGGACTCAAGCATCTTTCGAGCAAACCTTATTTGAAGTGGCAGAGTCGCCTAATTTATTGGCGGTTGAGATGAGGGCTCTCTTGTTAATGGCTATATATGTGGAGGAAGAGTAACAGCGGTTGGTCAGTTGGCAGTAAGCCGTATGATTGATGGGACTGCTTCTCCACACTATAACACAGTTGTGTGAAACAGACAGTTGTATAAATAATAAATGTAGTGTTCTTTGACTATAAAACAGTATGTTCATGTTTGCCCTTGGGCTCGAATGAATTCCATGGGGGTCAGACATATTCACAAATATATTTAGGAGATGGCCATTTATGGTTGTGATGGTGAGGGGAAAAAAAGGAGACATCCATTTATCACCAATCTCTCCGTTTTCTATAGGCTTTGTTCAAGAAATGAGATTTACCCCGACAGACTTCAGTTAACTCAATATGTATGTTTTTGCAACGTGGGAAGATGCCAGACTACCTTGGGAAAACCCATACAAGCATAGCAACAAAATTCTTATCCTATTCTGAAGACTTTGAGTACCTATAGATTGTCAGACAGACATGTCCATTAAAACATCATGCTGCCATTTATTTAGCAGTTTATGTCAACTGCAAGATGCTGACAAATTCTTAGCTAATGCCCAAGAAGACGTAATACTAGCCATCCATGTCCAATTGGTGGATGGTGGAAGTCAAACTGGAATTGGAACTAGAGGTCAAAATCGTGTTAAATATGCACCATCTTTGCACCTTGATGTTTTTTGTTCGTAGGAGCTGTTTGTGCAACATCAAATTGACAAATTTCTGAGTATTTCGCAGTGTCAAGGCTCACAGCTGACCTTGATTGAATCCATTTCCGTTCCTTGTGCTGTTCAAAGTCGGCCTCTCAACGACTGTCAACCAGTCCTAAAGTTAGCTGGGATGGACTCCAACAACTACCATCATCCTGCCACTTAAACATGTCTAGGAATTGCAAGGACTGCATGGAGTTGTCAGTTTGGTGGGTCCCAATGTGAAGGAGACATTTTCCTCTCGTCTAGATTGGACTGCTGCTGTGCGTAGTTCAGATGATGAAGCGATCTTTATAGAGCAACAGGGGCGTCACTAGGTTTGAAGAACAAGGGGGGCTTAGCCCCAAGGGGAACACAGCCCCTGTAGGGGGGTCCGGGGGCATGATAGGGAGAAATTTTTTCTACATTCTGTTAAAAATCCATCAATTCCGTGCACTTTGAGAGCAAATTGAAGAGGCTATGAAGAACTACACACATCACATTAGTATCCTTTTTACTATGATGGGGCTTCCTCCCCTGGACTTTAACTGGACTAGATAATAGAAATTATAAAGAGTTCAAAAGTTCAATCTTGGTTGTTCAAGGGAATTAGAAGGATGCCCGATAACATAACCTATATGACAGTAGTCCTATATTCCTCTCTACCAAAATGTATTAATATATGCTTAGCCGCCAGAAGACGATGTATTTTGAGATGTTGCAATTTAAGTTAGATTTAAGTTAGTACAATGAGATGCAAAAGCTTCATCACTTTGGAAAAACACTATTTATTTATTTATTTTATATAGGCCAAAATCTCAATAGGTGTTGCCTCAAAGAGTTGGTGTAATGATTATTTATGTATTTGATAATAAAATGTTGCTTAATTTTTATTAAAGACCCCCCTTCATTTATCCAAAAGTGAACACTTGTTACAGTGCAGTTTCTGCTGTTACTGGAGATATTTTAGCGGACTATAGTCACTAGTTTTACCAGCATGGATGCGTTGAATACTTAATTTACCTTTCTAAAAAACTGTCGAATATCCATGCTGTCGATTCAACCTGACTTTCGCAATGAACTGTCAGTTGTTGCGTTAGCACTTGATGTGGCGATGGTGACAGACACGTCAAAAGCAAACGCAACACCTGTTGCGTTCAGGAAACCTGGGAGATTTAACATTACAATAATGGCAGGTTATCGAAATATAATTTAAAATGGCCACATTACGTTGAATTTGATGCAATATATTAGCAAAAGTACAGGAAAAATAAATAATACTTTTTTTTAATTAATGCAATGAAATTATTTAGGGGGGCTAAAGACATTTTTAGGGAGGCTGAAGCCTCCCTAAAATAGGCCTAATGACGCCCATGTAGAGCAACATATTCATTGAGGAAATTACTGGAAAGCCGACATTAATAGTGATAAAATTGTGTTTGGAGGAAATGAGTCACAAAGTCAGCGTTTCCCAACCTTCACTGATCCAAGGCACATGAGTAAAATCTCATGGCGCTTGACCACAAACAAAAATGTCACACGTTAATTATGTAAGCATTTTATTGTGGTGGAGAGGAACAAAGATGCATTGCATGTAGCAATTAGCCAATATATAATTTTGAGACAAATTAAAGGAAATGTGATTATTTCCACGCAGCAGTACACCTGATGATCTCTCACCGCACACTGACTGGGAATCACTGCATAAAAATGATGTCCTCTTTACTTATTAAGTGAATGCAAATCTGGACCCGGGGAGAAAAAGACATCACAGCTGATGTGAGACAGAATACACCCTTTGTCTGCCACACCTCCAGTAACTCCAAGTCAAAAGAATTCTCCCCATTGATGTAAGATAATTTCCAGTACTATTGCAACACAAATGCCACTGGACCATATTTAGTCACGAGGGCTCTTCGTGTTTGTCTGTGCTCCACTTTGACAGTAACACAGAAAGCTGCCGAGATTCCAAACAGAACCTCTCTCCTTATATGGCACACACTGCAACTCCTGTTCAGTGTATCTGCTGCTTTATTTGCCTCCACCTCCGCCGCCCTGCCCCATCGTCTTGTAGCTCGACCCGCCTTCCCAATTGAAGAGCATCGCCGCTGCCTCCTTGATGTTGGCCAGAGGGTGCGCTGAGGTCCTCCATGTAGGTCCACACACAAATACACACACACCGGCACTTCCACTCTCTGGCCCAGAACAGGCTCGAGCTATCAACTCGCACCTTGATTTATTGGAGCAAACAGTATGGTGTCCTTATATAGGAAGTTCCACTGGAAAGACGATGGAAAGAGGGCGGGGAGGTAATGTGGGATGTAGGAGGTGGGGTCCCACTCTTTGTGGTGGTGGAATTTGAATGATCTGTACACACACACACACACACACACACACACACACACACACACACACACACACACACACACACACACACACACGCACAGTGGACTCACCATCTAAATTATGAGTTTGTTTATTGAGGTCTTTCTGGACTTCCAGTCAAGGGGGATTCCTGTGCAGGGCACAGCTGACTTGCCTTATGAGGAGTGGAAGTTGATTACATCACCTATAGACTGTGTATACTTACCGTCGCGGCCATTGAGTGCTCTCTAATGAGAAAGTTCAACGTTGCAGATTGAAGCCTGCATGCTGCCATGAAAAATGCCCTAGCTCGATAACCAGTGTTCTGGTCATGTCAACATGGTCTCTGAAGTTCTTTATCTGTACTTTTGTAGGAGTGTCAGTCAAATCTCAGAATGATGAAAAAAGGAAGTCTTTTTATTCACTGGTAGTGTCGTGGTTCATCTGCCTGAGTTTTGTACATGTAGTGTAGATTCAATTCCCACTCAGTGATGTGTAGTCTGCCATTTCAAACTCACCTGGGATAGGCTCCAGCTCCCCTCAACCCTGAATTGAATGCAGAAAATGAGTGGATGGATCGACGTTTTCATGTAAGTCTAGTACTGTAGCTCTGAAAAGCTTTAGAGTCTCACAAATATGATACATTTTACATCTAAATGAACTTTGGGTTGCAGGCTGGTCACCATCCAATCACACGGCACAATAGACAAACATTCAAAGTCACATTCATGCAGACAGTTTAAAGACTCCTATCATAACGGGCATCGTGTAATACATAGTAAAACATTTTTTAACTCGGTATTTATTTCAAGTCGACCTTCTTACTTTTACTTAAGTGTACGAGTTGTTGAATCTGTAGTTTTGCTTTTATTGTTTTTTATTTTATTTATTTATTTATTTGTATTTTTTTTATTTGTTCATTTAGGTTTTTTACACGCTCGACTGTTCTACTTTTGCCACCTTTGCATATTTTAGCTCAAGTCTTGTCTCCATTCAGCTCCTGGCTCATGCCATCACTTTCCATCTTGCTTAAGTGACCAGTGCGCATGCCCACTGCCTCTTGCGGATGAGACTTCCTGGTGGAGGAAAGAAAACCCAAGGAGGATGGCCAGTCAGTCCCCGCGCGCAGCTCCTCCCACGCGCGCATCTCGCGAGTTTAAATGGTAGGGCTCGTAATTTGACAGGGGTCTTTTGGACTGTTCGTGAGGGGAGTACCTTGTCAGTTTGACCGCTTTCTGCATCCGACTCTGCCCTCGGCACACCTCTTTTCTTCCCTTTCAGTGAGTATACTCCATGTCTAGAGCGTCGCCGCTCAGCTGGTCATGCACTTGTCAAGCGAACTTGTTGTGAGGCGTTTGAGGAACGCAAAGTTTGTCGTAATATTGATCACTAATTTCCTCTGGTCCACAAAATGAGAAGCCCTCGTTGTTGAAGGAAAACACGAGACTGTTTTGGTGGCAGACGCGATACCGATGGATATATTCATTGAAAGTAAAACGCTATTATTTCTTCTGTGACAAACTTTTGATTAGTCTAAGACTTAGACTCTAAGTGAATGTATACAGAATGTATACAGAAATGTCTGTTCGAATGTGGTTGCATTTGTGCTAATAGTTACTTCCCAATTACAATGTGACCCTACCAATCATAAGTGAAGTGTCTTTATAAACCTTTTAACCATAATAAATGATTAATTATTATTGTCATCATTCGTGGCATTATTTCCGGCTTTTTCCAACTACTGTGGCAACGACTGTGCAGGCATGAAACTTAATTTCCTGGAGACCGGTTACATAAATGAGCTAATTAAACACTGACACCCCGAAGGATAAAAAAAATACTTTGCACAAATATACTATGACACGAACATATTGCAACCCTAAAGACATTTTAATACTGTAATCCCTCAGGAGTTGAAGGTCAGCTGCTCATTAATTAATATTGTTTCCCAAACTGTAATTATAATCTTATGCACAGAGCTATTTAGATCTGGTTGTTTTCAGGTTTATTAAAAAGATGTAGGAGGAATGTTGTTCAGAAAACAGGAAATGAGTGAAGTCCTTCACATGACCCAAAGACCACACAAATGTCTCACCTTATGCCCTGGTTTGACATCGCTGTTTGTTTTTGACAGAAATAAGAATTTTGTTGAACAACAATCAGTTGTATTCTCATTTATATTTTAATTGAGACCATCTGGATAGAAGAGAAAATTTGTTAATTTTATTCTCTGATTATTTATAATCATTAGAAACACTAAAGCAATAAAACACAATCAGTAGAAATTCAGCAGGTCATATACAAAAACATACAGGTACCCATGTCCTGCATTTACCTGAATTTTCACATTAATTTACACATGAAGTTATATAGCGTCACGAATTTACTGGATTGATTGTCATAAAAATGGGAAGAGAGCCTCCTAACCACAAAAAAAAGTTTTATAGCAGAATCAATTGCACTGAGCTCTCAACATCTTGTCATTTTGAAAAGTAATGAGGAATTTCAACGTGAGTACACCCAAAAAAAAAAAAACAATTGTGTGGGTAATTGCCAATCCTCGTGATTGAAGGCAGCTGTACCTGTTCCGTTCTTTGGTGATCTAACATAGACATTGGTGGTATTTTGGTTTTATATTTTATTTTTGTTGTTGTTTTCTTGTCTTGTTGATGCATCACTTATTGAGGCATTAGAGTCAGTGTTGAAAAACACTGAATCCGCCCATCCGTCATATCAAGTTATATTCCTGTCAGCTCTATTTCAGACATCTGTCCTCAGCATACACTGGTTATGTTGACACAATAGAGCAAGAGGTGACTTTATCGCAAGTCACAGTGGTGAGGACAGTTCAAGAGTGTGAGGAGCGGGCTGCTCATACAGGAAAAGTCTGTTTGGTCTTATCAGCTCAAAGCATCATCATTGCCTTCCTGACGAGCATGTTCATTCATTGCTTGTCTCCATCTCTTGTTAATATTTATACATCTTTTTGGTTGGTTTGTTTTGCCATGTCCCTGAGGTCTAGTTTTGTTTTCTCAGAAGGCTTTAGGGGCTTTTTGTGCATAGTTCCCACTCTATTAAAGAGTGTCAGTCATATATAGAGAGATGAAGGGGAAGGAGGTCAAAGCAACAGCCCGTGGACAGCTGACTCTACATACATAATCCTAGAATTACTCAATTGTCTTCAAGAGTCAAAAGGCCAATCTCATTTGACACTTCAGTAAAGCTCATGCTCAGATGCTCACTGGACCAAAGGAGTATGATCATAGGGGAGTGTTACATATGTCGAGCTTTTTACATTCTCCAGTAATGCTCGCATGATCCTTCTAATTCAATCTCTGACTGATGCATATAAAAATGGGTTCCTCCATCGGCTCTCGTGAAGCTTGACTGTTAAAGGCCCGTGCAAGCCTCTAGCTTTCTGCCTTACTATCATTTTGGAGTAAAGGACAAGGCCAGCTGGAGGCATATTATTCCCTATATGGGCTTTGTTTGGGAGTTCGCTTGCCTTGCTGTTTAGGAAGAAGGCAGAAAAGAACCTTGCTCCAGAGAAGGAGCCCTTATATGGTCATCACAACATGAGACTGAAGCTCCCTCCAAGCAGACAGACGGAGAGGTGGAGAGGGGGAGAGAGTGGGGGTAAAAATGGATATTGTCAATTAAATGATGACTTAGAGTTAATAAATGTCATGGAGCTTGATTGTTTTTGGAATTTTCGCGGATAAATCAGTTTTTTAAAAAAAGGACAAAGTCACTTCCACATCTGCAACATTCACGGGAAATTGACTGTTTGTCTGAAAATGGAGTCCGAGTGAATGGGATATGTTGAAACTCTGCCTGGACAAAGACGATCAAAGAATGCTATTACGCTTTTGCCCAAATTATTGTGGTTAATCTTAATATAAAATACAGTGCAAATATCTTTGACATTATTGTACAGTATTTGTTTTAGTTTAGCAACGCTTGAATGACGCAATTTTTTTTTCTCAAATGTTTTTATTCAAATACAGACAACACACAAAATTTGTCACACACAGTTGCAGGAACCTGCGTCCAAAGCCTGCATGGAACGTAGCCTAGACCGAATGACATTGCCAAAGCCTGTATCCATCCTACACTTTTCTTGTGGCAAAATGACAGACTTTTTCCACAATTCTGTTCTCTATGCACTTGTGATGGACTGTTACTGACAACAGATAAACACTCCAGTCATCACTTAACTACGTATTGTTTCAATATTGTGTTAAAACCTCTCCCACAACCAAATGTTTACTGAACAAGATCAGTTCCCATTTTCTGCTTCACTTCTGTTTAATTTCTGTTTCAATGCTGTTTATATTTCTTTGCTTTACCAGTTGCCCCCTCCCCCACCTGGTCCAAAGATGTCCAAGAAGGGCCCAAACGAGGATGAGAAGTTCCTCTTTGTTGACAAGGACTTCCTGAACAGCCCCATGGCTCAGGCCGACTGGGCCGCCAAGAAACTGGTGTGGATTCCTTCTGAGAGACATGGCTTTGAGGCTGCGAGCATCAAGGAGGAGCACGGCGACGAAGTCCTGGTGGAGTTGGCTGACAATGGCAAGAAGGTGACAGTCAACAAGGATGACATCCAGAAGATGAACCCACCCAAGTTCAGCAAGGTGGAAGACATGGCTGAGCTCACCTGCCTCAACGAGGCCTCGGTGCTGCATAATATCCGCGAGAGGTACTTCTCAGGCCTTATTTATGTAAGTATGCACCAAAACACATTCCTTCAAAACAACTTCATTGATTTCCCTCATCCTAATCTGATCGGCGATTCGGATCACGTTACAAAACAAAATCAAATATGAATGGTTATCAAATATGTGCAAACATCTCATCCTTCCTCGTGGCCTCTGCTCTCAGACATACTCCGGCCTGTTCTGTGTGGTGGTCAACCCCTACAAGATGCTGCCCATTTACTCTGAGAAGATCGTTGAAATGTACAAAGGCAAGAAGAGGCATGAAGTTCCCCCACACATCTATTCCATCACAGACAACGCCTACAGAAACATGATGCAAGGTAGGGTTTATTCCTGTGTCTTACCAGGATTAAATGGTTAAAAGACAATACGAGCACTGTACTGGTGAAAATCTGACTGTAAATTATCTTGGCAGGAGCACTGTCAATGTACCGCTCTATTGGAGAGTCAGTGTTTCGTAGAGTTGGCAGGAGTGTTGGTGGCAGAGCTGTGATTACAGTAAATGAATCTATGCTAGCTCGGCCCGGGTGCGACTTCATATGGGCCGCTTTCCCATGGAATCCGTTTTGTGTGGGCCTGGAGAGGACATTGGGAGGGGGTGGGGTTGGTCGTGCCCACTGAATCTCTTGCTGACGTGAGGGTGTTTTCTCTGAGGAGCTGACATCTATGTTGAGGGATGGGTGGGGGGGTCTGTGAAGAATTTCCTGTCCCAACAGTGTGTCTGTCCTTCATTGAACCCTGGCTATTTGGCAGACAAAAATCAATAGTGTAAGAATGTGGAATGACATTGTCGCCCATTTGGCAAACATACGTTTTTGTAAGGTTTATTTTAAAGGGAAAAAAGTAAAAAAAAACAAAAAAAGGTTGGGTTTTTTCCAGCAAAATATCTATGTAAAAGTAAAGTGGAAATGAATTGGAATACAGTATATGTTTAAATTTTCAGCCAAATGTATGAAGTGCATTTAATGGTACAATGACTACAGCCCAGAAAAGGAAGAAGAAAATTAAACTTGATGCCAAATTACAAACGTATATACAAAATAGTTGCTTTCACACTGGCCATCTCTCTCTTCCAACGTATGAAGTTTTCTCCTCAGTGCTTGTTTGCGGTTTGCCTAGCTGCCAATTGCTGGCACGTTATTGCTGTCCCTATGTTCTCCGTTGAGGCAGACTTGATCACACTTTACAGAGAGATCATCATTGATGTAATGTACTGTGCAAAGTGTTGTCACGTTGCTTCTGTAGCAAAACCACAGCAGTCAATGAGCATTAGTCAAGTGTTTCTATTACCTGGGATCTGCTTCTCATACTTCTTGCCAAATTTTCCAAATGGAAAATCAAACAATGTATTTTAAAAAAAAAAGTGATTGCATTTTGCACGAACTATCATTTAACTTTTATTTGTTCAACTTGACAAGATTTGAAGAGTGCCATTACTTCTGCAAAGTTTATGCGCGTAACCTTCACGAGTTTTTCTCCCAATATGACCTTCAAGCCACCATCTCCAATTCTGACTGGAGCGGTTTATAGCCGAGTGTGAAACTGTTGAGATGAAAATAAGCACCTCCAAATCGGAAACATTGTCCTCTGTCGGAAAATGGTGGAGGCCCCTCTCTGGGTCGGGAGATCATGAGATCTTGCCCAAACGGGGGAGTTTAAGTATCTTGGGGCCGGCCTTGTTCATGAGTGAGGGCAGGAGGGAGCGGGAGATCGACAAGCGGATCGGTGCAGCGTGTGCTATGATGTAGACTTTGTATCGGTCTGTCGTGGTGAAGAAGCAGCTGAGCCAAAAGGAGAAGCTCTCTATTTACCGGTCGATCGACGTTCCAACTCTCACCTATGGTCACGAGCTATGGGTCATGACCGAAAGAATGAGATCCCAGATACAAGCGGTCTAAATGAGTTTCCTCCGCAGGGTGTCCGGGCTCTCCTTTTGAGATAAGGTGAGAAGCTCGGTCATCCAGGAGGGTCTCAAAGTCGAGCTGCTTCTCCTCCATGTTGAGAAATGTCAGATAAGGTGGCTCGGGCATTTGATGAGGATGCCTCCTGAACGCCTCCCTGGTGAGGTGTTCTGGGCACGTTCCACCGGCAGGAGGCACCGGGGACGACCCAGGACATGCTGGAGAGACTAGGTTTCCCAGCTGGCCTAGGAGTGCCTCGGGATCCCCCAGGAAGAGCTGGAAGAAGTAGCTGAGGAGAGGGAAGTCTGGACTTCCCTGCTAAAGCTGCTAAGCGACTCGACCTCAGATAAGCGGTAGAGTATGGATAGATAGATGGATGACTTTTTTCTTGAAACAGAATTTCATAAAAATTCCATTAACCCTTTCATGTACCCTGTAACCCGATAACATGATAAGCTGTCCACTGTAGTAAATGCTGTCCCTGAAAGGGTTAATTTAGTCTCATTGTATTTATTTTTTATTCCAGTCTCACACAAATCCTCCTATGTACATTATCTGTTGGACAAAATCCAAGTCATTACCAGAGAGATCAAGCTCCTTTCTGTCACAAGTAGAGAACTGAAATTTTTCATTGGGTCATCGTACTGTATTTACTGCTACAGCTGTGCAACATAAACATCACAATGGTTGGATTTATGTTTGCGTGGGTGTTTGGTTACTGGACAAAAAGACCCCATGAGATTCTTTTCTCCGGCACATCCCTTAAATACACATCCAAGTCTTCAGACGTTACAACCCAGTAAACTTGTTCACGGTTAAAAGTGGACCTGTCAGCACCATCAGATAGACTTTCGCAGTCTCATAAAACATGACTTAGTATGTATGCGATTGGATGGCGACCTGTTTAGGGTGTGCTCTGCCTATCGCTCAAATTGAGAGTGGGAGAAAATGTTTTCATTTTGAACCAAAACCATTATGTTGTTTTGTCCTGATGTAAAATGTCACCCTTTTGTGGGGCGGGGTGGGGGCCAGGGTCGTTTCCTACTTCTGCCATCAGTCCACAATTCCGCCATCGCTAATAAATCAGCCATCTCTTTAAGTAGCCCTCATTTAAGGCACAGCTGTCTCAATGTTGTTCTTTTCAATGAACCAGTGACATTTATCATGATGTGAACAATGTTTTCCATCCAGTGCCAAACTATTCACAATTTATATAAGACAGTAGTAAGTAGAGTGGTGCATAGCTCAAACGAAGCTGTGGAAACACTTCAATCGTGACTGTGATCCAATTTGCTGCATTTTTGCATCAGCCTTTCATGCTCAGGGAATCAATGTGAAATTTGCTTATGGAGTTGGCCTGTTTACGTGTATTGAGTATTATATATTCATTCTCTGAAATGGATCATTGTCATTAAGACGCTCTCAAACTTTATAGCGTGTATTGTTGTGTGCAAGGAAAAAGCAATGTACACATACAACTACCAAACATAAGGGAGGGGAAAAAAAGAAATCCTTTTCATCTTTTTGTATCAAACTTTTAAATTCATGACATTTCTGTGTCTGCAGATCGGGAGGACCAATCCATTCTCTGCACGTAAGTGAAAATCTGGCACCTTTCAACTCACTACTGTCACTTTTTTTTCCATGATGTCACACACAAGGCTGTGTGTGTGCTTGTGTTTTGCACTGCCTCAGGATTGTTACAAAATGCTTACGTGTATTCAAATCCAATCAAATGAAACTCCTCTTTGCCCTTCAAGAGGTAAAAGAGAAGTGGAATACTGTATAACTATGATGTGATCTTGAAATAATAGAGGGGTCAGAAACTTTGTCAACAAATATTACATTTTGCGATGCCATTTGTATCCATAGAGTCCCTTTGGAAATGCTTTATAGCAACCGCTGTCATCCCCGATGACTGTGGGCTGGCTTTCCGCTCAGACCTTTGGTCCGGAAGTTTGGCCTTTATAATGATTGGAAACCAGATTAACCTCCCTAAAGTTTGACTTCCATGTTACTTATTTATTTGCTTCAAGCGAAACTGCATATAGTTCTCAGTCAAATTTGAGCAAATCTCTTTATGTATTTTGTGTCAATGCTTAACACCTGTCTATGATTTGGCTTATGCTTTACTATCTGACATTTGCGTTTAAACATGGATGATATGTGCAATTAGGACGAGAGGTATGGATAGCACAGTGGCAGCGTTTTGATTATTTTTGCATTTGTGTACAATAATAAGCATTGGCAAAGCTGGAACTTTAAATTTTAGGAGTAGATTTGACAAGAATTGCGGGATTTGTTTTCTAGAAATTACAGACATGTTATGCGGATTATCTCAATTTTACGGGGCTCCATTTATTTGAACAAAATATATCCATAATTTATATGCTTTCGAGTCAAATGTAATATTCTTCAATGGCCAAGTCAGTCAGGCGATCTCAACCTAATACAGGAAACTTTTTCTCTTGATAAACACAAGTGAGCACAAACAAGCAGAAGGTGAGGTTGGTGACAGTGAAGGTCTGGAAAAGCATCTTCATGTCTAAGAACTATAGACTTGGTCTATGGAATGATTACATTTTTAATTATACATTTACAAAGTATTTTACAGCAACTCAGAAATGCACGCGACAAAAACGATCAAATTCCTTAATGTTAAATGTCATATTTTGGTGAAGCCTCTCGAGTTATGGCTAAAATTTGACGCTTCAAACACATTCCTGATTGTTTTATTTCCAATCCATTGTGGTGACACAATAAGGCAAAATCCCTGTAGAACTCTAGTCATTATCCAAATACCTAACTGCACACAAGGAGCCAAAGCAAATACTCTCATCTGGGCATTCCAAGTGCTCTTCTCCCCATGCCGTGATGCCCTCTAGTCATCCTCTAATCCAAAATTGTTGCACTGTTGCCAGGATGTTGTATAAACTTTGATAAAAATCAAACCACTTCCTCATCTAGCACACCCTTCCAGGATTTGTTGCGTTTGGTTGTCTACATCTCACGATGGGCCCTATTTTCATATCAAGCACAAGTGTGGCGCAAAGCGCAGTCTAAATGTGCGCATGGGTGGAGTTTTCATTGTTTTGATATTTTGCGAAACTTTGCACAGGTAAAATTGCGCGCAATGGGGCATTTGTGCCTGTGTGAGCCGTCGTGGAAGTCTTTTTTTGGCCAATCCTACCGCTATTCCCCATTTGCATCAAAGTCAGGGTGTTCTGAACACAGGTATGCACAGACCCAGGCACACGAAAAACGAAACAGATTCACTGGGATCAGTTGGCAGGTAAATTGCACGCTCTCCCCTTGCGGTTGATGTAGCACGTGACATAGGCAACTGGAGACCGCCTTGCACCCTTGGTCTTGCGTCTCTATGTCATATCGCATATCCCACCCCCCTAGCAACAGTGACGGGGATGCTATTAAAATATGTTTAACCCATGTGCGTTGATTTTTTTTAACGACACATCGGACAAAGGCACCATAATGGAACGGTGGCTTTAAAGTGTAATATCAAAGTCATTTCTAAATCCTTTTTTTTCTTGCGACCACTCAAAATGTTCAGTGGCGTCAGACCTATCCATACATATATAGTTTCTATTTACTTCTTGAGGTTGGTGCCCTCTATGGACATCAAAGCAATAAAAAGCAGTATTGTGCTATGGGTATAAGTAACTATCATCTGCATATAAGTAAAAATCAAAAACATTGAATTCGGTCTATTCAATATGGACAAGTTAGCGCCTTCAACATGTTAATAGATCATGACATAATTTTAGTTTGTACGTCAACAGTCCTGTTACGGGATGTTTTGGTGCACAAGGGTTAAGATGATAATGACTATAATGAGTGAATTGATTTCTAAAGTGATTCAGAGGGATCATATTTATCAATGAAATCCGATGCCTTCCACCACACATGTCCGCGGAGCTCCAAATTTGTCTGCCCACACCTCGATCAAATACACCCAAATTGCGTTACACCACCTGCATCTCGAGTTAACTCATTCAATCCCAGCCATTTTCACTGGAGCAACCCCCTCAATCTCAGTGTTTTACCGGATTTTGACTGATCTTGCAAGGCCCACAGAATATTTGGTTCTAATGCTATATAAACATGGAGCCTACCAAAATAAAGTTTGGACTCTCTTCTTTCAGCAGAAAAAAAATAGTTTTTCCATTCTTCAGCAATCGGCATTACAAAATGGCTAAGTTTCATGAAAATGGCGATTCCTGGGCAAAAAACGGAGAAAAAGAGCTTTTTCTAAAAGCATGCATTTCAAGCTCGTGAGGCACCACTGCCACCTACTAGTCGCTTTTTTACATGATTTACAATGCAAACGGCTTATTCTCATTCACAGATTGCATCAGACCCTCCTCCTCCCTATGACGCAAAAAAAAAAAATGTAGACGTACAAGTACGTCCTTGGTAGGCGGGGCCTAATTTTAAAAAGACGGACAAGTACGTCTTGTGGAGTTAAAGAGTTAAACCTGCTTATTGTGGGTCCAAAATGTCGTCTACATTTTGCAACCACATTTGCAGAGGCACCGGTCGGCGCGATAAGAACACTCCATGAGGCGTAGCGCGGTTACAAAAAAAAAAAAAAACTGAAAAAGACCATTGCCCTGAAAATGATGATGCACCTGTTTTTACCTCAAACGCAGACTACTTTTTGATACCAAATTGTTAACTGAGTCGGGGGCGGGACAACTCCGTGCACCGTAATGCCATGAAAGGCGCAACACAGCCTTAAATATGCTAGACTGGACTTGTGCCGGCATGAAAATGAAGTTATGCCCCTTTTTACACCGGGTGTACAAGTTCCAATCTACCACAATAAGGAAGGCCCTATATGTGCGAGGCAGATTAGAAAACAGCTTTTTCACAAGTGTAAACAGTTTGGGATACACAAGGTTAAATTAGTGGAAGAAAATCCAATCCGTGTGACGTCTGATTTAATAATATTTTAAACTGATAACATGGAATGACACAAGAGAGCTGAACGCTTGCCCAGTAATGTCTCAGTAGTCAACATTCCCATTTCAGTTAAAACTACAACTGCGCTGAAGCTCAGCAGGCAGTCCCTGCCTTATATGGTAGAAATGTTTCTGGTGAAGTACATGGAAATTCATGTATGATGTGTGCATGTGTGTGTGTGTGTGTGTGTGTGTGTGTGTGTGTGTGTGTGTGTGTGTGTGTGTGTGTGTGTGTGCGTGCGCTGCATGTACACTGTCAGCGTTATTTTTACAGTAGCAATGCCAAAGCATCATAAGGTTTGTTGTCACTTGGGAATCTTTTGCATCTAATTTGGATGAAATTCCCATTGAAACACAGCTCTATGTGAACTCAAAGTTTTATGGGTCGGACCAAAGCAGGTTGTAGAAGTAGACATAAACAGATGTATGTGATGATGAAGTCATGCAACCAGAAGCGAAAGGTTAAAGATAGCCATCTGCTTTTGGGTTGTATCTGAATTTATGTAATTGAGACATTTTGATTTGCTCCCCCATGCGGGGTTACAGTTAGATCATTTTAAAAAGATTGCAAATTGAGCATCAATTATTAGTGCACAATATTTCATGGAACTTATTTTACCTTAATAAATGTTGCACATGTGTATCGTAAGACAGTTGTGTATTTTCTCGCATTTGGGCCCTGAGTGGCTCAGAAAGGCCGTGAATCTGTAAACTTCAACAAAAGTGGAACAGGTCAATGTGGTGCAACATGGTGTTTGGCATGAGTGTTCCTTTAAAGGTCACGTTTTCAAAAATTCAATGTGGCAGGCGGTTTTTTTACAAGATGGCCACTAATTGGGTTTCTGTTGTAGTTTTTCTCAGATATCGTCAAACAAATTAAAATTGATGAGATAGGTTGACTAATATCAGCGCTAATAGCCACATGCACGTGTACAGAAAACTGTGGTTGGCGCTACTCAAAGTGCTGTAGATCTCTAGCGTTTGGAGGTGTTTCATAGATTTGAGTTCCCTCATCTAGTACCGTAAATGTAAAGAGCAAAAAAGTTTTTCAATGAGATGGCATCATCCAAAAGGGAGCATTGTGCTTATTCGGTGCAGGTTTTGATCCAGCTCTTCAATCAGAGTGGTTCTAGTGCACCTAATGCTGTGACCAGCTTGGCTGTCTCCTATTTTATGAACAATGTTCTGATACTGAGCGTTGCATGGATTTTGTTTGATGGACCATGTGGAGGTATAAGTCCCATTGTAATCTTTCCGGCACTCAGAACTGTCTCCAGTTGGGGTCTGGATGTTGTGGCTCCATGCCAGATGAGAACAGGAAAAAATAGATTGAATGCTCTCCGAGCTTCCAAGCCCCAATACGGAGCCTCCCATGCCTTTTATGGACTTTTGGATCGTGACATCTCATCTTATCGGGAAAACTCAACAAATCGTCATGGACTTAGATGGCTGATGGCTCTGCGATTGTTCAACTCAGACTTTCTCTTAAGGATCTAAGATCACAGGCCGTATTTTATGGAGGGAAAAAGGGATGAGCGTGTGCCTCTGTTTAAAAGCATCACAATTATACAATGAATTACTGTGAGACTAATCCTTAACTGCTCATCTGAGCCAGGATGATACTGTTCCTTTCTAGTGAGGTAGCTCTCCTTTTTCATCCTCTTGACTGTCTCACCGTGACATCTTTTTACTCCTCAGTGGGGAGTCTGGCGCTGGCAAGACAGAGAACACCAAGAAAGTCATCCAGTATTTGGCTGTAGTGGCCTCATCACACAAAGGCAAGAAGGACAGCAGTGCTGTAAGTATGCATGCAAAATGACCATGCTGTCATGAAAAGTAAGGGTCTGTCAGCCAGTTCCCTCACTCTTAATGTATTTAGAATGTTGCACACTTTAATTCTGTATATCGCCATTTCCTCCAAATAGCAACAATCAGGATCACAGTTTGCCTACGTGAGTAAAGGGGAATGCCTGAAGTGTGGTTTTCTGTTTGCTGTTTCTTCCTGAGATTTAAACGTGCATGAAGATAGTGTCACTCAGTTAGCAAAGAACCATTTTTTGACATCCATTTTCAACACTAAGGTTCAGATCCTTACGGTCGAGAGTGTTTCCCCTAACATTTGTTGTTGCTGTATTACCCAGTGAAAGTGGATTTGCATGATCATAGTACTCCGTAGTCACATTTGAAACCTCCAGAATGCCTCGTGAGGGACGACTAGCGTTGCTGGTTTACTATGTTGAGTTTGGTATTAATCTTCAGTGAACACCCTTTACTGCCGGCGGTGATGAGATGAAGCCTCCCCAGCAGTTAAAGGGTCTCTCACTGATCAACGTGCACAGTGTGAGCATGCCCATCTACTCTTCTCATGTCTCCAACACGTCCTCTCCCTCGGCTCTTCCTCTTCATCCAACCTCCCTCTCTTTGCCCTGACGCTGCAGGAGAATTGTTTTTTTCTGCCCCGATGCATTTAGTTGAGTCTTGTGGTTTGCAATGATCACTCATTGTTGGACATCTTTAAAAAAAAAAAAAATCTCTTTCTGAGCCGCCCTGCGATATTATATACATTCAGCGGTGCTCATAAGGTGTACAATCTAATAAGAGAGTGGTAAATAAGAATAAGAATAAGAATAATAAAACCGTCATTCGTCTCACAATGGAGAAATTCCCAATTTACAGCAGCAAAGTTATGAAAGGAAGAAAGTAGAAGAACAAAAAGTACAGGAGCTGCTGTAAAGGCAGCCACTCTCGCGGCGCCATCTTGAAGTCAAAATAACATAATAACAAAATAATACAACATGACACATAAGACTCTATACAGTGAATTCAATTGATAAATGCATTTTATGTTTGAAGATAATTGCTGGAAGCATGTGCAAAGACTATTTTTCACCATATCCTCCTGATACCCGTTGAAAAAAGTGATTTCAATTTAATTTGGGGGGGGTGATTCTTTTTGGTTTGTCGGTGTCAACAGTGGGCCCCCATAGACCTCGCCTTAACCAAACTATTGTTTCGTCTCTCTTCTCTAGCTTGACTCCCTGAATTTAATATGCAGTAAACCTACAAAAAAGCTTTGCTGTGAGCTAGCTACCTCATTCCCTTTCTTGCTGCTCTGCTGTGCTCTATTTCTCATTTTCTCTTCTCCAGTGACCTATCCCAGGAGCTTAAAAGAGCAAGACAATCCTTTCTGCTTTGATAGCTCTGATCTTCAGTACATCAGCTGGTCTGTATCTTGTCAGTCTTTTCAGCTTTACAGGATCTACCACCATGTTGCGCGTGTTCCATCATTATCATGTCACTATTCTCATTCAGGCTGCAGTCATTGCCACCCGTCTCCTCACCTGATAGATAGTCTTAGCCCAGGGGTGGGCAATCCCAGTCCTGGAGGGCAGCTATCCTGCATGTTTTCCATCTGTCCCTGTTGCAACACACCTGATTCAATTGTTCAGGCCTCGACAAAGCTTGCTGATGATCTGATCATTTGAATCAGGTGTGTTGGAGAAGGGACAGATGGAAAACATGCAGGATAGCGGCCCTCCAGGACTAGGATTGCCCACCCCTGTCTTAGCCCATTTGGGCAGGTAGAAACAGTGATTTCAGGTGTAGGTGGAGAGGATCTGACCTTGCCTCAAAGGTGACAGAGAGATTTTTGATGTGGTGGATTAGCTCAATGCACATTAAGGAGGGGTCTGCCTCATTTTTCATTGACCTGGTTCCACACACGAGCCTACAGACCAGTGGCATCGTGAAGGAGATGATGATGATTGAGTCAGTGGAAAAATAATATTTTCAAATTAACGCATTGGCGTTCAAGTTTTTCCGCAATGGCACCCCTGCCACAGATGCTCAGAGATGCTACATTGAGAGAAAACATTCCTTTTTTTTGGACCATGATCATTGTAGTTTCCCTACGCATGCATCATGCACATACAAATGTATTCGCTTGAAGGATTCCTCAGAAGTGTGCTGGTAATATTATTTTCAGCTGAACCAACCTGACCTCCTTATCTGTTTATATATCAGCTTCCCCTCATTTACCTCCAAACTTCAGGTCAGATGTTGGTTACATAACTTACTGGAATTCTGAGCTGTTGACTTTATGCAGGTACTTTGAAGTGCATTAGTACGGATAGTTTCTGCTCTTTATTTTTGCTTTCTGAGTTGTTTTTTTGGTCCTTAATCTCAATACTCATGAATTATATTCTGGAAACCTTACCCATCAACCCCGTCTGCCTTCCACATCGGTGGCCATTAATTGTGTCAACGTATTGTTGTCACCAGGGAGAGCTAGAGAAGCAGCTTCTACAGGCCAATCCCATCCTGGAGGCTTTCGGGAATGCCAAGACCATCAAAAATGACAATTCCTCCCGCTTTGTGAGTTTTCCTGATAAGATTAGATGTCATGATTAAAATAGCTCTTAAAAATCATATCTACAGTTACATGAATTTTTAACTGTGTCTTTTCTATAAGACTGATTATTTTATTCATTAACTCCTCGTTTTCTTATTTATTTTTTGTTAACACAGGGCAAATTCATCCGAATCAACTTTGATGTGACAGGCTACATTGTTGGAGCCAATATTGAGACCTGTATCCTACCTTGTTTGAGATCTGCAGCTTTAAAATTAAGTCATATTTAGTTTAGGACTTGGTGATATGGCCATAAAAGTGCTCATCTAGCGAATTAGAACAGTAGGATTTACAAGGTAGGCAACACACAAAGGTAATGATGACATTTTCACAGTTAGAGTGAGGATGAACTTGAGAATTAGTTTGTGTTCTTTAATGAATGAGTTCTCAGACCTCCTGGAGAAGTCTCGTTGTATCAGACAGGCAAAAATAGAAAGAGCCTTCCATATCTTCTACTATATGATTGCTGGTGCCAAGGACAAAGTTCGAGGTAACATACTTCAAATGTGCTGTGGGGATTCGATTTTTGATAGGGACACTTAAGACTCAAAATAATGACTTTTTGTGGAATATCAATACTTCTCAGTAATTCATTTGTGAAGTCGTAACATTAAGATTTGGTGATCAAAATCTGAAAAAGATCGATGTAATTTATTGTTTATTGTTGTCCTTTCAGAGGAGCTTCTTCTGGAGCCCTTCAGTAACTACCGCTTCCTAGTTGCGGGCCATGTCCAGATCCCGGGCCAGCAGGATGATGAGATGTATGAGGAGACGATGGAGGCCATGACAATCATGGGCTTTACGGATGAGGAGCGAATTGGTATCACAAATCTGATGCAACCTGAGTTTGCTTTATAAAAGGATGCAGAAGGATAATGCCCACTCATTCACATACATATAGTTGGCTCTGAGTGGGGCTCAACTGCCTCTTTTAGTCTGTTAATCTAATCAAGCAAATTGAATGTGATTAGAGGCTAAACCAAGTAACCTGCTCACCTGCTAACAGGCGACTACTTCTTCAGCAACTTGGAACATAAATTAATGATAACAAATTGCAGAACTGATTTCATATTTGTAACACTTTTATTTGTGTATACTTGGTCACTTGGTCTAAATTCAACTGTCAGTTCAAGCCTCCCCTGCATGGAGTTTGCAAGTTCTCCCCTTGCATAAATTTTCCTCCCACATTCTCCAAACATGCTTCTTAGATTCGTGGAGGACTCTAATTTGCGCGTGACTGTTACCGTGAATGATAGTTTGTCAGCTGGGATAGGGCTCAGCTCACAAATGAGGACAGCCGCTGTCGGAGATGGATGGATGTATGGATGGATGGATGGATCACACCAATACTGTCACTGTGTTACTGTAGATATCCTGAAGGTGTGTTCAACGGTCATGCAGCTGGGAAACATTGAGTTTAAGAAAGAAAGGAACCAAGAGCAGGCCACCATGCCTGACAACACAGGTTAGATACAATATTTTGTCTTTTCTACCTTTTTGTAGTGTGAAAGGGAGTTATGGAGATGTGTGTGTCTTTACATTAGAGGCCACTTAATTAAATAGTGACAAACAAACATGAGATAAAAAAAATGCTGTTAAAATTGTAACAAAAGAAAAGCAGCAAAAGCAGAACACTCTGGTATGATGGTATTATTGTCTAATATTTATATATTCCTCCTCACTGTAGCGGCTCAGAAGGTGTGTCACCTGCAGGGCATAAATGTGACAGACTTCACTCGTGCCATCCTCACGCCTCGAATCAAAGTTGGCAGAGAGGTGGTGCAAAAAGCACAGACCAAAGAGCAGGTACTACACAGCGTGCAATGCTCGGAATAAAATAAATGATATTTCATGTGTTTGATGCATGTGTGTGCGCTTCACAGGCTGACTTTGCTATTGAAGCCCTGGCAAAGGCTGTGTTTGAGCGGCTGTTCCGCTGGATCCTAGGCCGAGTCAACAAAGCCCTGGACAAGACCAAACGTCAAGGGGCCTCCTTCCTGGGTATTCTCGATATCGCTGGCTTTGAGATCTTTGAGGTATGCACACGTGAGCCTTTAATGTGCAATGTGACGAGGTCAAACCTTTTGTGGACGATGGGCATTCTCAACTCTGTCTTATGGCTGTTGCAGGACAACTCCTTTGAGCAGCTGTGCATCAATTACACCAATGAGAAGCTGCAGCAGTTATTCAACCACACCATGTTCATCTTGGAGCAGGAGGAGTACCAGAGAGAAGGCATCGAGTGGAACTTTATAGATTTTGGTTTGGACCTACAGCCCTGCATAGAGCTCATCGAGAGGCCGGTAAGTGGCCTTGAGAGCGTGACAATGAGCTTTTCTTCCTCATGGCGTGGTTTCATATAAATCTGGACATCTTGTTTGCAGAACAACCCTCCAGGCATTCTGGCCTTGCTGGATGAAGAGTGCTGGTTCCCCAAAGCCACAGATGTCTCCTTTGTGGAAAAACTCATGAGCACCCAAGGAAACCATGTTAAATTTGCAAAACCAAAACAACTAAAAGACAAGACAGAGTTTTCTATTCTTCACTATGCTGGGAAGGTGAGCATAAGAGGAAAAGCGCTCCGTGAACATTACGTTTGAGATATGATTAGGGTTATGCATTTTGGTGTGGCTGAAATAAGTGTTGCAGGGCTGCTGAATAAAATGAAACCGATATCGTTTGCGTTAGGTGGACTATAACGCCACAGCCTGGCTGACAAAGAACATGGACCCTCTGAATGACAATGTCACAGCACTGCTCAACAACTCCTCCAGCTCATTTGTGCAAGACCTCTGGAAAGATTGTGAGATCACTGACATACATGCTTTGGGCAAATTCCTACCTCAGCAGATGTCTATACAGTGGTGTTACACAGTATTACTAATTTATGTGTTATTGTAGAGGTGTTCAGCTTTGATTTGCGTACATTTCGTAGATAATATCAAGTCCTGAATAATGATCAAATACACGGTGGTCTATTGCATATGATTCAGTGACTGATGTGTTGTGTGCTTCAGCTGACAGAGTGGTGGGTCTTGACACCATTGCCAAGATGTCCGACAGTTCGATGGCCAGTGGATCCAAGACCAAGAAGGGAATGTTCCGCACGGTGGGACAACTCTACAAGGAGTCCCTCGCCAAACTCATGACCACACTGCACAACACCCAGCCCAACTTTGTCAGATGCATCATTCCAAATCACGAGAAGAGGGTAAAGAAAAATATTTACATGAAGTGTTTTTTTTTTTCAAATTAAAACATGATTTACTTCATATCCCCGTTATCATGAATAGAAACGTATTTGTTGAATCAACTAGTCGTGGACGATTGCCTTGGAACACACCAATTATTCCGACAAAGTCATCATTACCGATTTTGAGCTGACAGATGTGACACAAACAAATGTAGTGTCTCATCGCCAATTTTGAGTTGTCTTGACACATCGTAGCCCGTGTTGTGTGACGTACTCAACGAAAGTCTGACACATCAGAATTGTTGTTCATTTTGCCACATATGGTAATGTGACATGAAAAGTCGTGTAGTTTGAGAAGCCCATAATGCTCCTTAGTCACACTCCCCTACATCACCAGTCTCAATTCTTCTTCATGATATCTGTGGTTCCAACTTTCTGGGAACATTTTGTAGTTCAGCAACCTCAGTAACCTCTGACCTCTCAAATGACTTCATGAAGATACAACATTTCCATGGTTACATGCATGACTAAATTTTACTAAATGTCTCCCCGGAGGAGTGGAAGATGTTTCGAGTGTGCCCCTGAATTTTGTCAATATATTGTTTTTATTTGTTTTTACAATGTGCACGTGTCCCTCGACAGCAGGGGTCACCAACCTTTTTGAAATCGAGAGGTACTTTTTGGGTACTGATTAACAAAAAGGGCTACCAGTTTGATCCGCACTCAAGTTTGCTCGAATTATTTTTAATAATGTTATTGATGTTATTATACACATTTATATGAAGACACTCATCATGTAAACAATTTCTCACAATCATTAGGAAACAGGTGATATTGATCCAGACAACGCCGCATATATTTTTTTAAATTTCGAAATCTCTGCCAGTGTTTGTATTTTCATATGATCACTTCTACAACATTCCTCGAAAATCACCTTGTCCCATCACTGGTGAACTTGACTTAAGCAGGCCTGTGGGCTACTTGGGTGGTCCTTTGGTGACCTGTGTTCTGCAGTATGTCAAGTCTTTAAATATGTCATCGCTCTTACAAGTTATGTTCTCCTCAGGCGGGGAAGCTGGATGCCAACCTGGTTCTGGAGCAGCTCAGGTGTAATGGCGTGTTGGAGGGGATTCGAATCTGCCGACAAGGATTCCCAAATCGAATTGTCTTCCAGGAGTTTCGCCAGCGGTGAGTTAGATCAGATGTGCCTATACCTAAACAGTATTGTGCTACTGCATGCATTTTGTATTTAAATATCGTTTCTGTAAACCCTTTCCTTATAGCTATGAGATTCTGGCAGCAAGTGCTATTCCCAAAGGTTTTATGGATGGAAAACAAGCTTGCTGCCTCATGGTAAAGTGGTATTATTCAGTCAATAATTGCTGCTTTGAATTTAAGGCTACAATGAGAGCTATCAATGTCCTTCAATATAGATCAAACATCTGGACCTGGATCCAAATCTGTACAGAATCGGGCAGAGCAAGATATTTTTCCGCACAGGAGTTTTGGCCCAGCTGGAGGAGGAGAGAGACCTAAAGATAACTGTGATCATCATTGCCTTCCAGGCCCAAGCTCGAGGCTTCCTGGCGAGAAAGTACGTACATGCAAGCTCTCACAAATGTTTCACAGCCAACGACTTGTAGCATGACGCTAATGTGTAGTCAAGATTGCGTTCAGTTGTAATGAATTACTACCAATGAAATTTTCATCAGGTCTTATCTGATTTGAACAAAAAGTAGCTATGTGGATGCAAGGTAAGAGCTTGTAACATCAGCAGACCTAATCCAGCCTGCCCATTTGGCAGCAATTTAAATTGAATGGAAAATCCCATGAAACATTTTCAGACGCTTTCCTCTGTGGTATCTCATTAAATCTGTTCTGTTGGATTGGGGAAAAAGTTAATAGGTTCAATTTTGGGATTTGCACTGGTTTGACAAATATTTACGTGTTGGATGAGGTCCTGGTATAAGTGACGGTATTTGGTGTGTGAATGGGCTACCAGTTTGATCCGCACTCAAGTTTGCTCGAATTATTTTTAATAATGTTATTGATGTTATTATACACATTTATATGAAGACACTCATCATGTAAACAATTTCTCACAATCATTAGGAAACAGGTGATATTGATCCAGACAACGCCGCATATATTTTTTTAAATTTCGAAATCTCTGCCAGTGTTTGTATTTTCATATGATCACTTCTACAACATTCCTCGAAAATCACCTTGTCCCATCACTGGTGAACTTGACTTAAGCAGGCCTGTGGGCTACTTGGGTGGTCCTTTGGTGACCTGTGTTCTGCAGTATGTCAAGTCTTTAAATATGTCATCGCTCTTACAAGTTATGTTCTCCTCAGGCGGGGAAGCTGGATGCCAACCTGGTTCTGGAGCAGCTCAGGTGTAATGGCGTGTTGGAGGGGATTCGAATCTGCCGACAAGGATTCCCAAATCGAATTGTCTTCCAGGAGTTTCGCCAGCGGTGAGTTAGATCAGATGTGCCTATACCTAAACAGTATTGTGCTACTGCATGCATTTTGTATTTAAATATCGTTTCTGTAAACCCTTTCCTTATAGCTATGAGATTCTGGCAGCAAGTGCTATTCCCAAAGGTTTTATGGATGGAAAACAAGCTTGCTGCCTCATGGTAAAGTGGTATTATTCAGTCAATAATTGCTGCTTTGAATTTAAGGCTACAATGAGAGCTATCAATGTCCTTCAATATAGATCAAACATCTGGACCTGGATCCAAATCTGTACAGAATCGGGCAGAGCAAGATATTTTTCCGCACAGGAGTTTTGGCCCAGCTGGAGGAGGAGAGAGACCTAAAGATAACTGTGATCATCATTGCCTTCCAGGCCCAAGCTCGAGGCTTCCTGGCGAGAAAGTACGTACATGCAAGCTCTCACAAATGTTTCACAGCCAACGACTTGTAGCATGACGCTAATGTGTAGTCAAGATTGCGTTCAGTTGTAATGAATTACTACCAATGAAATTTTCATCAGGTCTTATCTGATTTGAACAAAAAGTAGCTATGTGGATGCAAGGTAAGAGCTTGTAACATCAGCAGACCTAATCCAGCCTGCCCATTTGGCAGCAATTTAAATTGAATGGAAAATCCCATGAAACATTTTCAGACGCTTTCCTCTGTGGTATCTCATTAAATCTGTTCTGTTGGATTGGGGAAAAAGTTAATAGGTTCAATTTTGGGATTTGCACTGGTTTGACAAATATTTACGTGTTGGATGAGGTCCTGGTATAAGTGACGGTATTTGGTGTGTGAATGTATTGTACCATAAATGATATTATGACGGTAATGAGGATATTTGTTTTGTTGACCATTTAAAGGGCATTTGCAAAGAGGCAGCAGCAACTTACAGCCATGAAAGTTATTCAAAGGAATTGTGCCGCCTACCTCAAACTAAGAAACTGGCAGTGGTGGAGACTCTTCACAAAGGTCAGCATGTCCTTCTAGGCCCATGAAACTTGGGTTCTTCTCCTCTATCGTTAAAGTTCTTGATATTTTATATTTATGCCACTTTCCTCTACTCCGCAAAAGGTTAAGCCTCTTTTGCAAGTGACACGTCAGGAGGAGGAGATGAGCCTAAAGGAGGAAGAGCTGCAGAAATCAAAAGAAAATGCTGCAAAGTATGAATCAGAGCTGAACGAGATCACCTTGAAGCACACAACGGTAAATGATAAATGACACAAATGAAGAGCTTTAAATTCCATTATAATTGACATCCCATTCTCGTTTGACGTACTGTCTAGTCATCCATTTTTTTACATTTTGCCGACCAGGCCCAAGACAGATTGCCACTCAGTTGCAGGGTTACTCCATTTCAAGTGTTCAAACCGACTCTGATTTTGACTGGTTGTTTCAGATTTTGGAGGAGAGAAATGCGCTGCAGGAGCAACTTCAGGCTGAGACAGAGTTGTATGCGGAAGCTGAGGAGATGAGGGTGCGTTTGGCAGCTAAGAAGCAGGAATTGGAGGAAATCCTCCATGAGATGGAGGCAAGACTGGACGAAGAGGAAGAACGTTCCCAGACATTGCTGGTGGAAAAGAAAAAAATGCAACAGCAGATGCAGGTAGTGAATTTGTCTTTCTCCTTCTGGTGTGTCCACTGTTGCTGTCAGTTATCTGATATCAAGCTTTCCAAATTCAAGTAAAAGCAAGCATGCACAGTATATTGTTATTGCCTTGTTGGAGTAGGAATTGGAAGAACATTTAGAAGAGGAGGAGGATGCGCGACAAAAGCTGCAGCTGGAGAAGGTCACTTGTGAAGGAAAGATCAAAAAGCTTGAAGATGACATCCTGGTGATGGAAGATCATAACAACAAACTGCTGAAGGTAAATGAGAACACAAACAATGAAGTAGAAGTGCTAGTTTCGGCTCAGCGATTGAGACACTTGCATTTTCATTTTGTAGGAGAGAAAGCTGATGGAGGAGAGGGTAGCAGACTACAGTGCTAATCTGGCTGAAGAAGAGGAGAAGTCAAAGAACCTCACCAAACTGAAAAATAAACACGAGTCCATGATATCAGAACTGGAGGGTAATCACTGTTTTGGAACATCACAATTTACAGCCCTATTCTATAACCGATAGCCTTTTGGGTAATTTGCCTTTTGCTCTCCTTTCAGTCCGACTGAAGAAGGAAGAAAAGACTCGGCAGGAACTGGATAAGGTGAAGCGTAAATTAGAGGCCGAGTCAAATGATCTCCAGGAGCAGGTAGCGGACCTGCAGGCCCAGATTGCTGACCTCAAAGCCCAGCTGGCAAAAAAAGAGGAGGAGCTACAGAATTGCTTGGCCAGGTCAAGTCTCATGATGAGTTCTTTATCAAATGGTCTGTATTTTAACATGGGCAGAATCAAAACAAAGCATCATCTCCTTTTGAAATTAACAGTCTTCTGAAATTATCTGGGACAGCTCACAATTTACAGGGCAAAGAATGATGCATGTTGTCCAATGAGCATCACTTTTATGAACCATGACACTTGACAATAACTCTAATTAAGTTACCAGTGTGTTTAACAAGCTTCCTCCTTTGTATAGATTAGAAGATGAGACAGCTCAAAAGAACAACGCTCTAAAGAAAATCCGTGAGCTGGAGGGCCACATCTCTGACCTGCAGGAAGACCTCGACTCTGAGAGAGCAGCCAGGAATAAAGCAGAAAAGATCAAACGTGACTTGGGAGAAGAGTTGGAGGCTCTGAAATCGGAGCTTGAAGATACCCTGGACAGCACTGCAACCCAGCAGGAACTCAGGTCACACAGACTTTCACAAAAACTTACATGCAGTGAAAGCAAAAGAAAAAAAACGACGTTAAGATACAAATGAGGAGAAGCCAAGTGTCACTTTCTTCTCTCTAGTACAAAGTAGAGTCGATATAATCTCGTCATCTGTTCTGCAGAGCTAAACGTGAGCAGGAGGTGACCTTACTGAAGAGAGCCATAGAGGAGGAGAACCGGACCCATGAAGCCCAGATACATGAAATGAGACAGAAACACACCCAGGCTGTGGAGGAGCTCACAGAGCAACTGGAACAGTCAAAACGAGTAATGATTTGTAATCGATTTATTTGATGTGTGTAATGTACGGCTGCCTTGTTTAAAATAAAGCAAAAACATCCCTCCACGACCAGGTCAAGTCAAACTTGGAGAAGGCCAAACAAGCATTGGAGAAGGAGACATCTGAATTAACCATGGAGGTGCGCTCGCTCACTCAAGCCAAACAAGACGGGGAGAACAAGAGGAAGAAGTTGGAAGGTCAAGTGACAGATTTACAATCCCGCTTCAGTGACAGTGAGAAGCAGAAGGCTGAACTGGGAGAACGCTGCTCTAAGATCACTGTAATTGGCTTTACGAAGTCTATCCTTATCATGTAAAACTGTAGAAATCCATAAAAACTCATGCCCCCCCCCCCCCAAACAGGTTGAACTGGAGAGTGTGACAAATCTACTGAATGAAGCTGAGGGCAAGAACATCAAACTGAACAAAGACGTTTCCAGTTTTAGCTCCCAACTCCAGGATACACAGGTTACTGCAGTTGAACTTCAGTATTCTGATAGTAAGCAGCGGGGTTTAGTTCTGACCTTTGACCTGCTTGGCACCCACAGGAGTTGCTGGCTGAGGAGACGCGACAGAAGCTGCAGTTCTCTACGAAGCTTCGGCAGGCAGAGGACGACAAGAACAGTTTACAGGAGCAGCTCGAGGAGGAGATGGAGGCCAAAAGGAATGTTGAGAGACACGTTTCCACCCTCAACATCCAGGTCGGAGATGAGTTTACACCTACACTGATGTTTGAGATGGTCTGGTATCAAAATGTTGTCAACAATCCAAACAGTGCATTTTCTTCTTTGACAGCTGTCAGATGCAAAGAAAAAGCTGGAGGAAATGTGCGGAAACGCTGAGCTACTGGAAGAAAGCAAGAAACGCCTGCAGAGAGATTTGGAGGCAGCCAACACCCAGTTTGAGGAGAAAGCTTCTGCCTACGACAAATTGGAGAAGACTAAAAACCGCCTGCAACAGGAGCTGGAGGACACACTGATGGATCTCGACAACCAGAGGCAGAATGTTTCAAACCTCGAGAAGAAACAAAAGAAGTTTGACCAGGTTTGTCCACGTTGTTATTGTTGCCATTGTACCACTATATCGTACCTGACGAGCTTTGTTAAACCTTTGACATATTGCGTCATTTACTTGTGGTTATTTGGCCTCCAGATGCTGGCAGAGGAGAAATCTATCTCGAGTAAATACGCAGACGAGAGAGACCGAGCCGAGGCTGAGGCCAGAGAGAAGGAGACAAAGGCTCTGTCCCTGGCCAGGGCTCTGGATGAGGCCCAGGATGCCAGAGAGGAGCTGGAGAGAGCCCACAAAGCCCTCAGGGTGGAAATGGAGGATCTGATCAGCTCAAAGGATGATGTTGGGAAAAATGTACGAGCTCGGATTCAGAATGTCGTTGAACGCATCATCACCGCCTTGCTATAGACAGTGCTTCTCTCGCCCACACTCAGCTAGGATGAGCTCCGGCTTACCCTTGAGCCTAAATAGAATCAATCGTTGTGAATTTGATGCTACGTTGTTGTCAGGTCCATGAGCTGGAGAAGTCCAAGCGAGGCTTGGAGGCCCAGGTGGAGGAGATGAAAACTCAGCTGGAGGAGCTGGAGGATGAGCTCCAGGCGGCCGAGGATGCCAAACTTCGCCTCGAGGTCAACATGCAGGCTCTGAAGGCCCAATTTGAGAGGGATCTGCAAGGGCGTGATGAGATGGGAGAGGAAAAGAAGAGACAGCTGGTCAAGCAGGTGAACAAACACATTTGTCTCCCTTGCAGCATCTATGCCCGAAAGTTACTCCGGTCACATCAGAAATGGAGCACTTTGCGCACCTTGCAGGTCCGTGAGTTAGAGACCGAGCTGGAGGATGAACGTAAGCAGAGGGCCTCAGCAGCAGCAGCCAAGAAGAAGTTGGAGACGGACATGAAAGATCTGGAGGGCCAGATCGATGCAGCTAATAAGGGACGAGATGAAGCCATAAAGCAGCTCCGAAAGATTCAGGTGAGAGCTAAATAATGGCCGGAATATTTGAACTCAATTTGGTGAAGCTTCTGGGTACAAACAGGTGTTGGCCTTTGCTGTGTGAAAATTGACATCCTCTCGCCCATCTCCCCGCTCATGGCTTTACCTCTTTGCACTCGGGCTTCTGTTTTCTTTGCCCGACAGAAGTAGAAGACTTATTTACCGAACATTTAATGTGTTCAAAAAGCAAGGGCCTTCCCCAAATCTATTTTGAGAGTTGTCTAAATTTTCCAGTCGAAGGATTTAAGGCCGTCATGGGTACATGTGTGTAAATAAAACATGCTATCCTGATGCTGACGTGTGCGATTCTCCTTTTCCACCAGGCCCAAATGAAAGACTTCCAGAGAGAGCTGGAGGATGCCCGTGCTGCCCGTGAGGAAGTGCTGACGACGGCAAAGGAGAGTGAGAGGAAAGCCAAGAGCCTGGAGGCTGAGTTGATGCAGCTGCAAGAGGTAATAAGATAAGATAAGATAAGATAAGATAAGATAAGCGGTGGCAGGCAACAAGACTATGGAATGCTTTTTGAGCATTTATTCAGTGTCCTACAAGTGCGCTGAATTATCTTTATCCGCACTACTAATACATTTCGGCACACTAGTTGAGCAACTGTCTTATGATGTTATTTTCCATGACTGCCTTCTATTACTGTATGACATTTTTGCACACTAGTGGACACTGTAGTAGAAACACTACAGTCCACAAATAGAACAGCAAGGGCACACTCGTACAGCAACTGTCTTCCAAGAGACATTTTTTCCATTGCCGGCTTCCTCAACTACATGATGTCTACAGAAATGTCATACAAGTGAGGACAAAGAGCATACTAGTACATGGACAACTCAGTGGACCGCCAGGATAGCAAATAATTGCTGAAAGCCCTTCCCGTAAAAAGACATCATCCTGTTTGTAAGGGGGGGTGCAAAATAATGGCTCGAATCCATGTTTCATGTCATGCTTCTTTAGGAACTGGCCTCTGCTGAGAGGGCACGGAAGCAAGCGGAGGCTGAAAGGGACGAGATGGCAGATGAGCTAGCGAGCAACTCCTCTGGAAAGTCAGTCATGTTTTGCCCTCAGTCGGAATCACATGATCCGATCTGACCACACTTGCGCTTCTCGTGTGTAGGTCAGCCTTGTCCGACGAGAAGCGTCGCCTGGAAGCTAAGATCTCCCAGCTGGAAGAGGAACTCGAGGAGGAGCAGAGCAACATGGAGATCCTCAACGACAGGCTGAGGAAGAGCACGCAACAGGTTGCCGCAGAAGCAAGATCACATCAACAGCAGCCTCACCAAACGGCCTGCGCACCTGGTACAAGCTTGCATTCTCCCGACAGGTGGATCAGATAAACAACGAGCTGCAAACAGAGCGCTCGGCCTCCCAGAAGAACGAGAGCGCCCGGCAGCAGATGGAGCGCCAGAACAAGGAGATGAAGGCCAAGCTCAGCGAGATGGAGAACCAGGTCAAGTCCAAGTTCAAATCCTCCATCGCCGCTTTGGAGGCGAAGGTGGCCCAACTGGAGGAGCAGCTGGAGCAGGAGAGCAGGTCAGAGACGTGTATATATATA